GCATGAATCTCTCATCCCGACGTAGCTGTTCGAACCACTTCTTTGGCAATTTTTTGTTCTTTGCAGGCAAATTAAGGAAAGTCACTCCTCTTTCCCTATACTTTTCGGTTCGGGTTTTACAGCCCGGGGCCCAACATTTTAGCTCACAACTGAATAAACGAATTTAGAACAGAAGAGGAGAGCTTTAGTCTTTGAGCTTCGCGCCAATTCGGACGGAATTACGTCACGGATATGCGGCCTGGCCTTCAAGACCCTTTCAAAATGGCGGCTCCCGGTGTCGAACTTTTCACTTCTTTTTCATTATGATCGCATCCACTTCAGAAGCTAAAACAACGGTGAGTAACTCAACTCAATGTGAACTTTTTATTGGTGATGGAAAAAAATACACAGTTTTTGGAGTGACCTTCTCCTTTAATGTAGCGTTCGCTAAGTAGTCGACTTCTTTCTCCTTATCAACAGAATACCTGAAGTTTTATTGTGTTTTGGCCAGTAACGTTTGCGCGATGTTGCAATCAGTGATGACGTTCATCTGATGATGGAGCGTTTAAACAAGCCATATTGTCATTTCCACTGAAATGAAATGTTTCAGACGAGAAGGCCCATCCATATGTAAAATTCAGGTGAAATTTACGTTTTCCAGGCATGAGTTAAGTGAAATGTTAAGTGCTGCACCGTACTAAGGTTTTTGTTCGAACGGTTTACTAACTTCATGTAAAAGGCATTTTACAAGCCTGATTTGAGAACTTGTTAAAGCGATCGTGTTCAATTGGTAAAAGGTATTTGATACTCCATAACGCTACTAAAGCAGAAGTTATAGTTGCTATTAAAAAGTGTCTTTTCCATCCTGTTCGCCAAACAGCCATGACAGCTATATTATTCTGATAGCGAGTCTCGATCGCTAGAGAGATGCTGGTGAAAGACCACTCGATCACCAGTTGAACTGAGGTTGTGATAGCAGAAGAGAGTCAAAATACTGTAGCAGCTCTAAAAGTGAATGGTCTTTTAAGTACATAATTGATACAAGTAGAAAAAGCCGTTAACAGACACTATTGCAGTTGATTCATACAACATGCTCATGATAGCGATATCAGCCATTAGTTTCTCAAGGCGAGGAGTACGAAAACTTCCCCAAGGAGCTGATGTTCTTTTGCAAATCACGTGACAAATGTGATCCATGACAACCATGGTGCTTCGTTCTATGACTTCTGTAGCGCCGTGAATTATTCCAAGAACAGCAATAGATTGTAAAGTGCCAAGATCCGCTTGTAAAAGTCGACACATGAGCAACAATACAGCGGTGTTAGTAAGACAAATATACCGGATAACTACATTTCGAGTATAACCGCTGAACACAAATTCGCTGGAGTACTTTGAGAAAGACGCTAATGAGGGAAGAGAAAAGTGCGATTAGAAGTTTGCCATCCTTGCCTTGTTTGTTATACGCTGAGTAAATAATTTCAGCCACGGAAACTGCAAGAACTATTACAGAAAATGGGGAAGCTGTCATTTGAAAGAAACACCTGACCTGACTTCTCCTTGTCCGTCGTATACAGAAGTGATTCGTTACAAAATAAACTTGCAAACATAGACTTGTAACAGCAAAAATGTTGACTGGAATCAATTGTAAAGAAGATGGCTTGGAATGAGATGCTCGTAAGGTTTATAGAGCTATGATATAAAACGCTTCCAAACAAGATCCAAAGCAGGAGACCAAGAAGACTTTCGTTTTCACGCCCATTAACTTATATGGACGAAAAAGAAATAGCATAATCGCAAAGGACTAAAAGTGTAACAGAATAACTGATGACAGTCGAAATTGATCTCATCCTTTCTACATTTAATGGAATGGACTCTCCTTACAGAACAGTACTTACATTACTTACTATATGGTTTACTTACACTGCTAACAATACAATACTCTCCTTACATTTAAATACATTACTTGCAAAAAATACAATTACTGAATTACTCTATATTGAGGAAGTTATAATGTAATATAATACAATAAACCAGTTGAACTGAAGTTGTGATAGCAAAAGACTGTAGCAGCTCTGAAAGGGAATCGTCTTTTAAGTGTACATATTGATACAAGTACAATAATCCGTTAACAGACACTATAGCAGTTGATTCATACAACATGCTCGCGATAGCGATATCAGCCATTAGTCTCTCGCGACGAGGAGAACGAAAACTTCCCCAAGGAGCTGATGTTCTTTTCCAAATCACGTGACAAATGTGATCAGTGACAACCATGGTACTTCGTTCTATGACTTCTGCAGCGCCGTGAATTATCCCAAGAACAGCAACAGATTGTAAACTGCCAAGATCCGCTTGTAGAACTCGAAAAAGAACCGCTGAGCAACAATACAGCGGTGTGAGCAAGACATAGCAATATCCCGGATGAATACATTTCGAGCATAATCGCTGACCACAAATTCGCGAGATTACTTTGAGAAGGACTCCAATGAGAGGAGAGAAAAGAGCGATAACAAGTTTACCATCTTTGCCATGTTTGTTATACGCTGGGTAAATAATTTGAGCCACAAGAACTGCAAGAAATACAAGAGAAATGGGGGAAGCTGTCATTTGAAAAAAAAAATTGACGTGACTTCTCCTTGACCGCCGTATACAGAAGTGATTCGTAACAAAATAAACTTGCAAACATAGACTAATGACAATGATAACGTTGTTTGGAATAAGTTGTAAAGAAGATGGCTTAGAATGAGATATTCCCAGGCTTTGTAGAGTTATGATATAAAATGTTTCCAAACAATATCCAAAGTAGCAAACCAAGAAGACTTTCCTTTTCACGCCCATTAACTGATATGGACGAAAAAGAAATAGCATGGTCACAAAGGACGAAAAGTGTGAAATAGAGTAACTTATCACAAGAGAAATTGATCTCATCCATTGTACATTTAATGGTATGGACTTCTTTGGATGAAATTCACAGTTGTTTACAGTCTTAATACATAAGTATGAGATCAACATGTATACTGAACCGATGATGATGGCCGTTAGTAGTGAAATTGAAGCTCCAATGTACATTGATTTACAAACCGTTCGGAGAGCGCATGGTCTGAGTCGCTTCCAAGCCATTGCTCTATCTTCATCTTGTTGATCTTCCTGTGTTTCTTCGTTTTCCTCTGGCGAACACGCGTTTATAACCCTTATATCAGCGTGGTTAGACGCTAGATAGTCCAAGCTTGTGGCTTCTCTGTCGCTGTATTCTTGATAAATAAGCTCATCAACAGGATGATAATACCATTCTCGACCTGTGCTTTGTAGAGGATCGTAGCCAAAAGATTCTGCCATGTATTCAGGTTCTTGTGGGTTGTAGTGCTCTGTCACTCCTCGTGTAAAACTGAACACGATATGACCAAACACCTCTATCAGTGCACTGCCACTCATTATTGCGTGGAGATTGTAATAAATAGTTTTGGCTTTCCTGAAAAAAAAAAAAACTAAATTGTGATATTAACGATGAGTTCCAGAGTTTAAGAACATGTGGTGTTGTATGGTATTGCGTGCTGCAAAAAGGTCTTTTTCATCAATTGTAACACGATAATTTAGATCTTCTTGTTTACGAACCTTGAAATATTAACTTCAACTTTGTTTCGAACCAAACATGAGTCTTGCGTTAGAAATCTAGGTGAGAAATATCTTTACTGTCTAGGAAACGTTTGAGCAGGGTTTTTCTTGAGTCGATAGCGCCTTGTAAACGCTAGCTAAGGCCGTTTGCTATTTTAGGAATAAGCACGAACTAAGTGGTCAACGATTGCGAAAGAGACTAACTTTTAGCAAGAACGCAATTTCTTCTTAGAGCCGATAACATAGTTTCGAGAGGAATTTCTGATCAATAAATGTGGGTTTTTGACCAAGCGCGACGTCAAGATGGCTGGATATTGGCCAGGCTCTTTTATGCGTGTTTAAGGAGCAAGACGCGGTCGATGTCCTTAAACACATTAAAAATGATCATGTTTGATATCCAGCCATCTTGACCGTACAAGTTTTGTCAATAATGGATTTATTGCGTGGCTTAAAGAACACATTTTTCTTGGGTATCGCAGCAGTTAATCTCGAACCGTCAAAATGGCCTTATCCTGCCCACTTGGTTAGCCAATCACAGCGCAGGATTTGGTTTTTCTTACGCGCTCGCGGACCTAGCCCTGTAATAATGCTTTTTATTTCCTCTTTCAGGTTACAGCTACTTATTTGTGTTGATAAATCATGTTACAACAGCCTTTGGTGACGTTTAGCTCAACATCTACCTGTAGACTATCTCTGAAACCAACTCTCCAGTCACGTACATACACTAAAGTTTCTGCTTGGTTTCAAGATGTGAAGGGGAAGCTGAAAAATCATTTGAATATGTCAGAATAGCTAAATAAGTTTAAATATCTGTTAATTTGTTACGTTTTCACTTTCTATAGGTGCAAACAAATGTTCTAGCAATCATAGTTCATGTATAGCTCTGTTATTGGTCATGTGAAGGAACTCGCTGTCCGCGCGTTTGAAAGAAAGCAAAGGTGGGAGAATTTCACTTTCCAACAGTCTTTTACTGCTACAACTTTTAACTTTCCAAGATATATCATAATCTAAATTCCCCTGACAACGTCAATATATTGTCAAGCAGGCAAGTAATCATCAACTGCGATAATCACTAAATTCTCAGAAATAATGTTACAAGAAATATATGGCTATCAGAAAGGAAAATTGATGTTTTGATATTGGGCAGGTTAATGGGCTTTAAACTGAATCAACGAAACTGCTGGCACTCGGGCTTTTTTTCTCACGATTGTTTACCCTCTCGAGCCCCGTAGTCACTGGAACCCTTCTTTGCACATAGCAAGTTATACAGGATCGTACCTAAAGGCATAGTTGGCACGCTAGAGGTTGTGTACTTGTGTGTAAAAAGTGAAAGAGTATTACGCATAAATGAATAAAGGGGAAAAAGTAAGGAAAGAAAGGCAATAATATGGACAAACGTTTGTTTTATATGCATCTAATTACACGGGCTTTCCTACGGAAGCCCGAGTCATAAAATGCAAGCGTTTTGGTCGCCAAAAGGAGGGTCATGGTCCCAGGCGTTCCATGCGTAGACCGTGGAAACTGGGGACGAGAAACGCGACATTGCTCGCTCGTCGTGACAGACTGCGGTGTTTTGCGAAGAACGTTTTAGCAAGAATCACGCCTTATACGTTCATCTCACATACAAAGATGTCGATCGTTTTTGGAAAGGGTCGGTCCGCGAATTATTTTGCTTGAAAGCCAGTCAGGTAAGCAAAGTTCACGCTCGAAACGTTCTCGTGAGATACCAACTGAGGTGATCGCGGTATGAGTTCAAACGGCGAAAACACTGACAAAAAACAGGGAGTCAATGACGGTATGTGGCTACTGCTGTTATTATTTAGAATATTGCAGTAAAACAAATCATATTGCAATAAAAAGAACTAAATATGAAAACGTTTTTGGACTCGTAGCTCATTAAAAACATGCGACTTGTTTCTTGCACCGCGCAAAATATGTCGATCTCCAAAGTTGTTAAGATAAGACTTGCGGTAACTTGAATTAAATATCTTACCTCCAAGTTTAGTTGGCTTTCTAGTAGGGTGCAGGAAAAAAAATAATGTGTGATATTTGGAGGCAAATTGTGCGGGAAAATTAAACCTTCGATCGTGCGGGGAATTGTGCGGGATTACTGACGAACCAATGTTCTTGCCAAGTCCTAGGGAAAATCTGCATTGACGATAGTTTAGCCAGTTATTTCAC